ATGATAGTTAAAATACAACAAAGAAGAAACTGGAATAATAACTACACTGGAAAACTCAACAAAATAAGAGAGTATTTAACTAATAAACAGTAACTGTTCTAATATTGTAACATCCCATAAACATAGCCTTGACAAAGGCAAATTCAGTAAAACAGATTGTCTCGCATGAAATTCTAGCAGCAGGAAGAGAAGCCTCAGCTTTTAGCTATAAATGAGAAAGGAAAACTAACTTTCACATGCAATTTCAAGACCCCAGCAGCTGCTACTGAAAAACTAAAACTAAAAACCCTGGTTCTGTGGGAGTTGCCCCATCCATTCAGCCTGCTTCTATTGTTCCTACTTTAATAAAAACAACCCAAGGCTTCACAAACTGTTTACTTTACGGACAGCGCTACATCTCGATCTTAAAACCACACTTAACAGTAGGGACAAAATACACGTCTTAAAGCCATAGTATTTCCACAAATGTTAGCATCACGTAGACCAATTTCCAGTCTATTCAAAGCTTCTCAATGACCAATGGCTTTCTTATCAAGTTTGTCACTGCCTCACAAGTCTCCTGCTCAGTCTTGGATTTAGAACTCTGTGTGCTAATAGCTGAGGCAGGCGACTTAAAGTGCGACTAACTCCATGCCCCCCACCCAAAAATAAAATTTATTAGATCAAGCACGGATTAGTCAGTGTTGCCTGGCAAGCATCCTGTCCAGAACCTCAGCTTTTACTCAAGTCAGCTCTGTTTTAAGGGCAAATTTCACTTGTTCCCTGAATACCTTTTTCTTCAAAGCATGTTTTACTCTTATGTCCAGTTGTGGCTGCTAAATCTTTATCAACATTGCTCTTTTCCCACCTTGTCACCCTTTTGACATGCTTGTTTTCCCCTTTATTAATCCTACTGAAATCCTTCCGATAACTTTGTGCAGAGTATGTGGAGATTGCTCTTCCTTATTATATAGTTTTAAGTCCACTTGGTAGAACGTCTGTTTTACTTAGCTTGTCCTGGCTTACACTGGGTAATGTCTTTACAGGTGTCACTTTATTTCAAGTATTTCATGCCCACTTTACAAGCCTACTGGACAGTTATTTAAGACTGAAACATGAACATTATTAAACAATTAATGCATTAAGACCATAAGACATTGGAGCAGAAATTAGGCCATTCGGCCTATTGAGTCTGCTCTGCCATTCAATCCTGGCTGATAAGTTCCTCAACCCCATTCTCCTGCTTTCTCCCCGTAACCCTTGAGCCCCTTGATAATCAAGAACCTATCTATCTCAGGCTTAAATGTACTCAATGACCTGGCCTCCACAGCCTTCTGTGGCAGTGAATTCCACAGATTCACCACTCTCTGGCTAAGAAGTTTCTCCTTATCTCCGTTCTAAAAGGTCTTCCTTTTACTCTGAGGCTGTGCCCTCGGGTCCTAATCCCTCCTACCAAAGGAAACATCTTCCCAACATCCACTCTGTCCAGGCCATTCAGTTTTCTGTAAGTTTCAATTAGAACCCCCTCATTCTTCTAAACTCCAATGAGTCTCGTCCCAGAGTCCTCAAACGTTGCTCATATGTTAAGTTTTCCATTCCTGGGACCATTCTTGTGAACCTCCTCTGAACGTCCTCCAGGGCCAGTACATCCTTCCTGAGATATGGGGCCCAAAACTGCACACAATACTCCAAATGTGGCCTGATCAGAGCCATACAAAGCCTCATCAGTACATCCCTGCTTTTATATTCATGTCCTCTCAAAATAAATGCCAACGTTGCATTTGCCTTCCTGACTACTGACTCAACCTGCAAGTCTACCTTGAGAGAATCCTGGACTAGAACTCCCAAGTCTCTTTGCACTTCAGACTTCTGAATTTTCTCCCCATTTAGAAAACAGTCCATGCTTTTATTCTTCTTACCAAAGTGCATGACCTCACACTTTCCCACGTTGTACTCCATCTGCCACTTCTTTGCCCACTCTCCTAACCTGCTCAAATCCTTCTGCAGCCTTCCCACCTCCTCAATATCACCTGTCCCTCCACCTATCTTTGTATCGTCTGCAAACTTAGCCAGAATGCCCACGGTTCCTTCATCTAGATCATTAATGTATAAAGTGAAAAGTTGTGGTCCCAACACTGACTGTTGTGGAACACCACTTGTCACCAGCTGCCATCCTGAGAAAGACACTTTTATCCCCACTCTCTGCTTTCTGCCAGACAGCCAATCTTCTATCCATGCTAGCACCTTGCCTCTAACACCATGGGCCCTTATCTTACTCAGCAGCCTCCTTTGCGGCACCTTGTCAAAGGCCTTTTTGAAGTCCACGTAGATAACATCCACTGACTCTCCTTGGTCGACCATGCTCATTTTTTCCTCAAAGAATTCTAGGAGATTTCTCAGGCATGACCTCCCCTTGATGAAACCATGCTGACTTTGCCCTACTTTACCATACACTTAATATTCAGAAAGCTCATCCTTTACAATGGATTCCAAATTCTTACCCATGACCAAAGTTAGGCTAATTGGCCTGTAATTTTCCGTCCTTTGCCTTATTCCCTTTTTAAACAGGGGTATCACATTAGCGATTTTCTAGTCCTCTGGGACCCTCCCTGACTCTAGCGATTCCTGAAAGATCACCAATAACGCTTCCACTATCTCTTCAGCTATCTCCTTTAGAACTTTGGGGTGTAGTCCATCTGGTCCAGGTAATTTATCCACCTTCAGGTCAATCAGTTTTACTAGTACCTTTTCCTTGGTGATGGCCACCATACTCAGCTCTGCCCCCTGACACTCTTCAATTTTTGGGAGATTACTCACGTCTTCCACCGTGAAGACTGACGGGAAGTAATTATTCAGTTACGGAATTCCATTGCTGATCTTATTGTCCTATGAGCGGCTGTAATAAAATGATTACTCAAGGATGATCAAGTTCCTGAGCACGACAGTTTGAAAAACTGCAAAAAATAATGGTAATTCTTGTAACGCAAGAAAACTAAAGTCTAAACACTATTGTTGTTTCATCAAGTAAATATATTCCTCCAGAAAGAATTAAACTACTTATGTCTACCCAACTACAGTTACCACTAATCCATTTGTTAAGAGACACTTTGACTAGCACTGAGAAAAGAAAATACTCTCAGCTGCATAACCTGTTAGCTTGTCAGAGGCACGACAAACAGTAAAACTGCCCTTACACAGCAGATCCAAACTTCTACACTGAATGGAGGAGACCCAGCAGTTAGAAAATAGTTCTTCGTCTCTTCTTTCAGACTTGTTCCATACGTTTCTCAGACCAGAATGATTGAACAACACATTTTAGCCTATCAATGCAAGAATAACACATCACAATAAAACTGAGTGAACTGACACCTTACTACTCATTAACTTCCATCCAAATGTCAGCAGTTACAAACATTAAATAGGGTTGCATAATTTCAAAACTTTGTAAATTATCATTTGTACTTAACTTGTGAAAGTGGATTACAGGTTCAGGATGGATTCGAATCAGTTGCAAGCATGATCTATATCCTTGGAAGAGCTGTGCAAACAATCTAAGGAATACTGCCCTGACTTCCTTATCCTATAAAGGAAAAATAAACACTATTAAAACTTTACAACAAAAGTACTGTAATTAATATCTAGTCATAGAAGTAAAGATAAATGGAATCATTCACTGCTACTCACCAACAATCTTAGGTTAGAAGGAGCTGTACGAGCAGGAGGAAAAGCATAATCAGCTACTTCTAGGTCTGGATGAATTACCTATGAAAATATAAGTGCATTCAGTTCAAGTTACTGCTACATAATTTTAACAAGCAATCGTCCATTCAGCTTCAAATTAATTGCTATACAGACAAGAAGTTTCTACCTACTAAATGTAGAGCTAATTTTGATTTGTTGTACAAAGATGGATTTTAATTTAGATAAATGCAAGGTGTTGCATTTTGGTAAGGCAAACCAGGGCAGGACTTACACAGTCAACAGCAGGATAATGGGTAATGTTATAGAACAAAGAGATCTAACGGTACAGGTTCATAGCTCCTTGAAAATGGAGTCATAGGTAGGCAGGGAGGTGAAGGCAGCTTTCGGCATGCTTGCTTTCATCAGTCAGAGCATTGAGTCTTGGAGCTGGTATGCCTAGTTGTGGCTATACAAGATGTTGGTGAGGCCACATTTGAAGTAGTGTGTACAGTTCTGGTCGCCCTACTGTAGAAAGGATATTATTAAACTAGGAACAGTGTAGAGAAGATTTTCTAGGATGCTACCTGGACTGGACAGTTCGAGTTATACGGAGATGTTGGATAGGCTGGGAGTATTTTTCCCCCTGGAGTGTAGGAGAGTGAGACCTTGCAGAGGTCTATAAAATCACGAGAGGCATACATAAGATAGATAGCCGACACTTTTACCCCCAGGTGGGGGAGTCAAAAACTAGAAGACATAGCTTTAAGGAGAGAGGGGAGAGATACACGAAAGGGTCCAAAGGGGCAATTTTTCCATACAGAGGTTAGTGAGTGTCTGGAACGGGCTGCGAGAGGTAGTGGTGAAAGTGAATATAATTTTGTCATTTAAGGAACATTTAGACAGGTACATGGAATGTGATGGGTATGGAGGGATGTGGACCAAACACAGGCAAATGGGACCAGCGTAAATTGTGAAAACTGGACAACTTGGGCCAAAGGGCCTGTTTTCCATGCTACGGACCTCTATGACTCGAAGTTCCCCATGATTATTGCACTCGTGCCTTTCTTAAATGCCTTTTCAGTCTTCTGATTCATTTTCTGCCCCACATCCTGACTAGTGCTAGAAGACTTGACCATAACTCCATTCAAGTTCTTTTTCCCTTTGTGATTTGTCAACTCTACCCGTGTAGATTCTACACCTTCCAACTCTATATCACTTGTTTTAGATTTTATTTCATTTCTTTCGAACAGGGCAACATCAGCCCCTCTACCCATTTGCCTGTCCTTTCAAAGGATGCATATCCATGGATATTTAATCCTCAGCCCTGATCCTCTTACAGCTATATATCTGTGATACCCGCAACATTGTACCTGCCAATTTCAATCTATGCTACAAGCTCATTTACCTCGTTACATATACAAGCAGTCCTGTTATAATGCATGTTTCGTTAACGTGAATTGGCCGTAATGCGATTGATGAATAGTGGACACTGGATAACGCAAACTTTCTGCTGTACAAGTATAGCGATTTCCCTAATAATGCAATCTTCTATAGCGCGAGGTCACACAAGAATGCAACTATTGCATTACAGGAGAACTACCTATACTGCATGCATTTAAGTACAGCATCCTCAGGTCTGCATTGACCACCCTCCTTCACATAACTGCCCCTTGTCTGTTGTACCTGGAGTTAGATTCCTGAGGCTAGCCATCCTCTCTGTCCTATTACTTGGTCTTGAAACTTTAATCGCCTCTGCTGAGCCCTCCTCCCCTTTAACTTTTTCCATGCAACTGAACACACGACCCTACTACTTATTTTAAATCCCTATCCACAGCCCTATGTGATTCACAAAGACTCTGGTCCCAGCACAATTCAGGTGGAGCCTGTCCCATTGAAACAACTCCCTCCTTCCTCAGTACTGGTGCCAAAGTCCCATGAATTCAAACCCATTTCTCCAACACCAATCTTTCAGCAAGGCGTTTACCTCTTTGATCTTGTTGACCCTGTGCCAATTAACTCATGGCTCAGATCATAATACCTTTCCTGATTCTGCTTTTTAAATTTAGCTACTAGCTGCTCATGTTCCCTCAGCAAAACTGCTTGTACCAATATTGCTGGTACCTACAACCACTACAACTGGATCTTCCCCCTCTCACTCCAAGCACTTCTGCAGCCCGGATGAGATATCCTGAACCCAGGCAACACAGTCTGTAGGACTCTCGATCCTAGCCACAGAGGACAGTGTCTATTCCCCTGACCATTCTAGCCCCGATTACAACCGCATTCGCTTTTCTCTTGAATGACTCCCTATACCACATTATGTGGTCGGTTTGCTCATCCTCTGTATATAGCCCCTGCACTCATTCACACAGGGAACAAGAATCTCAAATCTGTTAGTCAAGCTCAACCTCTTTCCCTCTGCACCAAATTCCCTAAGCTATATCCTCATTTGGGCTATGTCTCAGCCTGGGTGTGATCTCTCCTTTCTGACCGTATGCAGCTTATTCTGGCACATTTCCAGGATATAAGGATTCTTGGAAAATTACTATCAGTGCATCCACTACCTCTGCAGATTCTTCATTTAATACCATAGGATGGATCCCATCAGGTCCAGGGACTTATCAGCCTTTAGCCACATTAGATTCTCTAGTACTTTTTCTCTAGTAGTAATTATTGTATTTATTTCTTCTCCCATGTTGGCCCCTTACTTAATATTTTTGGAATGCTATTTGTGTCTTCTACCACGGAGATTGTACAAAGTACTCATTCAATTCTTCTGCCATTTCCAAGGTCCCCACTATTATTTCCCAAGCCTCATTCTCTAAGGGGTCAACGTTCACTTCGATCTCTCATTTCTTTTTTATATATTTAAAGGTAGCTCTTACTATCCATTTGATATTACTTGCTAGTTTACCCTGAAGTTTATTTTCTACCTTGATTTTGTTGGCCCTCTTTTGCCGATTTCCACAATTTTCCCAATCCACTGGCTGACCATTAATCTTTGCCACAATGTTTCTTCTTTCAATATGATATGGTCTTTAACTTCCCCAGTTAATCATGGTAATCCCCTCCCTAGAATCCTTCTTCCTCACTTGGATATATCTTTGTTGTGAGTCACAAGCTGTTTCACTATTCATCTGCCATTGCTCCTCAACCATTTTTCTACAAAACTCTTCTCCCAGTTCACTGCAGTGAATCCAACTTCGTTCTTTTGTAATTACCGTTACTTAAGTATCATAAATGTTTCTGACCCAAGTTTTCATTCTGAAATTGAATGCTAAATCTATCATGTTATGGTCACTGTTTCCTAGGGGATATTTTACCGAGATCATTTATTAAATAGGCTTCTTTACACATTACCAGATCCAAATTAGCCTCATCCTTGGTTGGTTCCACAACATATTGTTTTCGCCCTGCATACATTCCACGGATTCTTCCTTATGGCTATTTCTGTTAATTTGATTTTCCCAATCAACATGAGGATTAACGTGGATATGATTAAGTGTACTGCCTTTTATACATCCTCTCATTAATCTCCTGATTTATTCCAAACCCTACAATATAGCTCGTTAGGGGGTCTTTAGTGTCATTTTCCTCTTGTAATGTCTTCTCACCATCTGTACAGATTTTACATTTTCTGATCCAAGATAATTTCTTGCTGTTGTAAGTATTCCATTTTGTATTAACAAAGGTGCCTACCCTTCCTTATAACCTGTTCTTCGGAAAAATACTTATCTCTGTATATTCAGTTCTGAGTTGATCTCTGAGTAACCTGGACTTTGTAATGGCTACAAGATTATGAACACCACCCCCACCCCTCCCAATCTCCAATCCACTATTTAGCTTGAATTCTTCTTCACAGTTTCAACTTTGCTCCCAGCATGGTTCAACTGAAGCCTGTCCCCTGGAATATTCTGCTTCCGTTCCAGCACTGGTGCCAATGCCCTGCAACCAAACCCCATTCCTCCCAAACTAATCTTTAGGCCATGCATTTAAGTCCTTCACTTTGTTTACCCTGTGCCAGTTTTCCTGTGTCTCAGGTTATAATCTCAAGATTAATACTTTGGAGGTTATGCTTTTAATTTGTTTCCTGTTTAATTTCTTTCAGCAGAGCCTCCTTTTAGTCCTTCCAATGCTGTTCTTACCAATGTGGATGAAGACAACTGGATCCCTCCCCACCCACTCCAAGTTCCTCTCAGCCTTGAAAAAATAAGCTTAAACCATGGTACCAGGTAGACAATGCAACCTTCAGAACTCAAGCTCACGGCTACAAAGAACTGTATGCATCCTCCTAAATATAACGTCCCCTACTTTGCCCAGCTTCATCCCTTCACCCTGTACAGTGCCCTTCTTCTCAACCAGACTGAGTACAGCTCCCTTCTTTTCTCCCTCGTCTTGTACTCCACGATCCTTACCAACTTCCTCAGACTCCCAAGGGCCAGATATGGTCAACAGCAACCAAGAGTGAGTCTATTAGCAGCAAATATGGGAGAGAACCTGTTTGCAATTGGAAGAGCAACTCCATACAGATTCTGTCCATTCTATATACAGAATAACTTTGCTTCAGTGATTGAATTTTCCCAGGCGTTTTGGTCATTTTTGGGGTGAATTTATCCATCACAATGTATTTTGATCTCTGGCAGACAGAAGTCATCATCAAGCTCCTGTACTACAGTGATAACTGGCCAGTAGATCAGCAGCACATAGCTAAGAAAATTTTATCAGCAATGACTTTGTCAGATCTTGTGGATACAATGGACGGACTGGCAAACAAAAGGCAGTTGTTGAAGCCAGAAATACAAGCATTTAGGCAAGAAAATCAGCCTAGCATTGAATGGACTGAAAAATATCAAAGATAAAGAGGGAGGATAAAACAGTAATGGATTACAACAAAAGAGGTGCACAGAGCAACCAAAGGCTAAAGGCCAAGCTAGAAAGCAGTGCTAAAGGTGAAGACATGAGATGAAAGAGAATGAAGTGATAGGAAAAGGGATGAGGAGACTGAATGAACAAAATAATTGGTGTTCAATTGAATTCTGTCAAGGAGTTACACTTTCATTGCGTGAATGCATAGCTGATACAGAAATAATTAAAACAATCCCAGTAAAGAAATAAATTATCAGCACTCATTTCAAATTTGTTGGTATAACATCCTTAACCAAGAGGAGAAAACCTCGTAAGTGCCCCGTAGCCACCATACAGATCCTGCTTTAGACTAGAATTACATCAACTTGCTCAACAATAAATTGGAATTTTTAACACATATATTTATATGGCTAAGTTCAAATTCTGATCATATTGTTATGGAAAACTCAACTTACAAGAGAAAGTGCTGCTTGGGTTTGATGTAAGAGAGGCTCTGGCAACTGGGACAGATGAATGCATTCTGGGATTTTAACAGTACCACCATCCAAATCAGCAATGATCACATCCAACTGGTAAATAAAATTCAGAAACAAATAAAAGTAGTATTAAAATTGTAAATCAATTCTGCTATAATAACAATCACACAGACACATAGGTATGCTAAAATTAAAACAGGCCAGACAACCCAAACAGTCACATGCTGTTTATTCCCCACACAAGCAGCGGTCTAATCTCTTTTGTTCTCCCTGCCGCCTAATGAATAATGCTGTCATTGCCTGTTTCCATCTCTATCTCTGGAGGTGCATTCCACAGCATAAAAACACCAAACATTTCTCCAGTTCAGTTAAGGCTCTTACATTTAATTTTGCATTCCTGCTCATACAAATGCGTCTATGCCAACAGGAGGAATCTAGTAGTTTTAAAGGAACAACTTATTTTATTGGAGTTCTGATTTTGAAGGTTACAAATTTAAATGTCAGAATTGCTTAAGCAAATTCAAGTCCAACTGCAGCTTATCCAGTTCAGCGCTGGTGCCTACCGGCATCTTCATTAGACCTTATCATCATCTAATCTAGCCAGTAGTGTGTTATCATTTAAAAAGACAAGTTCTCTGGAAAGACTGGAGCCCTAGTGGTAACAGTCTCGCAGGTTGATGGCAATCACTGCATTTAAACATTGCTAAAAAGAGAAAGATATTGAAGGTTTTCATTTTGCACTCATCAGGAATAGGACATGGAAAACAAACTTGAGAAAAGGGAGGATAAGAAAAGCATGCTCTCACGAATTGGGCCATCCTTGGCATGGAGGGACATGGAGTAAGAACAGCTGTCAATCCTTAGTTCTCAGACCAGGCAGGTAGACACTTGTCTGGCCAGGGTGCTGCCATGGGAGTGCAGCAGAGATGAGCAGACCCCATGGCCCTTTTTCACGAAAATGATGCAATGTATCTACAAATTCCTTTTGTTTCAAACAGTGCAGTGTGTGAGAATATGCGTAGCTTCTAGCAGGTGCAAATGCATCACACTGCAAGCCCAACTGATGATCTTAAACTGGTTTCTGGTATAACTCTTAGCACAGTTTGAATTATTTAATAAATGATTTCGCAATAGCAAAACGATATGTATTGGTGGACATACTATTTTGAGGCTTGCAAGCATGGTCTGGTTGAACTCAGCCAGCAAACTGCCTGCTCTGAATGGTCAACGGAACATGCTGTTGCTGCATCTCCAAGCCAATGATGGTGCAACCAATTATTCAGCACCTGCTTCTCATGCTATATAAATTGGTGTCATCCTAATCCTGGTGAGCGCACGGTAAAAACCTTCAACTTCTTGTCAATTTTTAGCAAAGTTCAACTTTTACACTACAAACATTTCTGAAGGCTGAAAAAGTTTAAGCAAGAGCAACTGAATGCACCTGTCATTTCCTCTTCACTCTCTGAATCATTTAAATCCAGCACTCTCTGTATTATGACCCTCTGAGTTCTCAGTCTATCAATGCATATATCAATGATAAAATATTTGCACTGATTCATGCTTTATTTTCAATAACGGCCTTTCCAGAGGAACTGTATCACCGTGATTAAAGAACAATGCCTTTACAATTTTAATCAATTGCTACTCCGAGCCAACTCCTTTTGGAGTACACTGAAGCAAAGAAAAATGTCACAGAAAGCTAAAACCTCTCCTACAAATGCTCATGTTCCTTATTTAACAAAAAGCTTTCTGATGTGACTCAAGGCAGTTAATCTCAAAAGTTTCACACATCTTGAAGTACAAAAGCAACTTAAGTAAATGATTTGTGGAGCTGGGGGAACACAGCAGGTCAGGCAGCATCAGAGGAGCAATAAAGTCGATGTTTCGGGTGTACTCCCTTCATCAGGTCGGCTTTCTGATGCTGCCTGACCTGCTGTGTTCCTCCAGCTCCACACTGTATTGACTCCGTCTCCAGCATCGCAGTTTTTGCTATCACTAAGTAAATGATTTGCTTGCAAATCAGTACATAATTCTGAAGAATATACAGGTAGTTTTGCTATAACACATGTTTCGTTAACATTAATTGATTGCAATGCGATTGATGAATAGTGGACACTTTGGTTAACGCGAACTTTCTGCTGTACAGGTACAGCAATTTTCTATAGCAATCTCCCAATTACACGATTTTCGACAGTGCAAGGACACACAAGAACACAATTATCACCTTATAGGAGAAGAACCCTGTAACACTTTATGATAATAACATACATATGATGCTGTGTGAAAAAAACAGTCAAAATCCAGAATTGTCTTCTGAATAAACAGCTAAAAGGGCTGCAACATACCAGGTCATTAATTTCACTTTGGAACACGGAGTGTACACCAATGATAAATGGAGTCGGTGAGCTTAGCACTTCCAACAGTTGTGCAGGGAGAATTGGAATGTAAGGGTAACTAGGGAGAGAGAGAGTTGGCAGCATAAATCTCCTCATACAGAAACAAAAACAAAATTCCAGTCACAATTTTTTCCTTACTGCACTTTCAATTAGTATCCTTTACCCCCACCATGTTTAGGCTGTTCTCTATGTAGACAAATCTTTAATAAATAACATTTCGAAAATGCAAACTCAAATGCAATGCAGCTTCTTCGTAAATTCACTGATTAAACAATGCTAAAATCGAAGAGTGGAGCTGGAGGAGCACCGCGGGCCAGGCAGCATCAGAGGAGCAGGAAAGTTGATGTTTTGGGTTGGGACTCTTCTTCAGAAATGGGGCATTTCTGAAGAAGGGTCCCGACCCGAAACATCAACTTTCCTGCTCCTCTGGAATGGCGGGAAGGTCTTACGAGGAAAGGTTGAGAGAGCTAGGGCTTTTCTCTTTAGAATGACAAAGGATGAGAGGTGACTCGATAGAGGTGTACAAAATGATCAGAGGTATAGATAAAGTGGACAACCAAAGACTTTTTCCTAGGGTAGAGGTAGCTATTACGAGGGGGCATAGTTTTAAAGTGAGTGGAGGTATATATAGGGCAGACGTCAGAGGTCGGTTTTTTACTCAGAGAGCGGTAGGGGCGTGGAATGCATTGCCGGAGAGGGTAGTGGAGTCGGCCTCATTAGGGGCGTTTAAGGAGCTATTAAATAGGCATATGGATGATAGTATAAGGTAGGGGTGGAGGTTAGATAGACCTTAGGTTTAGGGTAAAAGTTCGGCACAACATCGTGGGCCGAAGGGCCTGTACTGTGCTGTACTGTTCTATGTTCTATGTTCTATGTTCTGATGCTGCCTGGCCCGCGGTGCTCCTCCAGCTCCACAGTGTGTTATCTCGGACTCCAGCATTGGCAGTTCTTACTATCTATAAAATCAAAGACTTGTTTTAGCGGAGTTTTTTCATATTTAATCATCAGTTAAAACAAACAAAGGAATTGACATTATTTGTTTAATCATTTAGCAGAACCAAAAAATGATCTGTATTATTTTGAAACTCAAACGCAATGAAACAACTTCAGCATCTTATATATGAATACTGAAAATAAACAAACGAAATTTGTCTTATGTTATAACAACCCATCAGTACCTGTAAAATTAAAACCTCCTCTGGATATCACGTGCTATTCAAAGATTGACTGATTTAATGTTTATTGCTTCAGCTGGAACATTATTTCCTTTGATTCAGAAATTTGCATCCAAACCCCACTCTAAGACTTGAGTATTTAATGTGCATTAATACTCATTCTCTACTGATGATAATGCAATTTACATTTTGGGAGGTCACATCTGTCAAATAAAGTATGAAGTAAAGCTTGTCTATCAGTTCAGGAAGATTTAAATGATCCCATGCAACTAAAGGAAGATCAAGATTATTTTTCTTATTAGCAGCATCTCTGCCTCAACTATTTACTTGGTCATTTACTTCACTTATTCTTTACAGATCCTTACTGACTGTAAATTGTTTGGCTTATGTATCTACCTTAATAGTAACTGGACTCACAGGAATTTATTAGTCAATGGGTATCTGGCAGAAGTGTTATAGAATGTGTTTTTTTTTATCCAACTTGATTATTGGTCACTACAAAAAACAAACTTCCCACACAAGATATTTTACAAAGATAAAACAAAGTATCTCCAGCAGTTCAGCAACAGATCTTTATGTATGAATCCAGCCCTGGCTGTCAATGAAACATGCCTCTCCCAAACAGGACCTCAGGTTACCAGAACCAAAACACAGAATTAAAAACATTATGCACCTCCAAACTTAACTACCTGGCAGCAAACAAAGCAATGATTAAAGCACTGAACAAATTCAAAACTATTATCTCTTCATGATTGACAAATGATGGTTTTCACTCAAATCCAACCAGTGATGGCTGAATGGCACAATGTGGTGGATACACTTCTTCTGATCATAATGATGCAATGAATGATTTTAATCTCTACTCACTGAAAAAAGTTCTATGTGAAATTAATTTAGGAAATAACCAATCTGCTCCTAATGGGCATAAAATAAATATATCATCCCTTCACTGTCACTGGGTCAAAATCCTGGAAATCCCTCCCTGAGGGCATTATGGGTCAATCTACAGCACATGGGCTGCAATGATTCAAGAAGGCAGCTCATCACAACCTTCTCAAGGGCAGCTGGTGATAGGCAATAAATGCTGGCCAGCCAGCGATGCCCAAATCCCACAAGTATGTAATTAAAATAAACTAACAAAACTACTCCAAATCTGACAATGAAACAGCAGATTTTCTTTCATATTTTGAGAAAACTAGAATAATTCTGAAAAGGTGGACAATTAGTTTGTCTTAGTACAAGGTCATTAGAATTCTGAGAAATGTCCACTTGACTTAATGTTGCAATGGTAAAGAAAATTAAAAAGCAAAGGGTAATTCGACATCTAAATGGGAGACAGATTTACAACTGGCTATAAAAACCCAGAAATACAGATAACTGTGTGCAGAACAGAATCTGTAGTTGAAGGGACCAGTGGAGATTTTTTTTTACAAGAAGCAATGTATGCAATAAGAAGACAGAAAACCAAAGACAGAGTCCAGGGATTGGGGACTGGACAGAACTAATTCTGCTATTTCAATTTTGCTGCACTGTTCAAAGAGATCAGAAAAGGGTGTCTCTGCAGTCTTGGCTAGGAAGGTTCTACATTGTGCACCCTTTGGCTGCCAGTGAAAGTTACACAGGCAAATTAGAGAGACCCATGCATGAGAAACCAAATGAAAAAGACAGAGAGATTGCACATTCTGTCACATTTGAGCAGCAAGCAACACTTAGGGTTAGGTAAATAAGTCAATTGTATTTTTGTGTAATGACTATTTAACATGTAATTTGACATTTTACTTGAAATATTCTTCACCTGTCATTTAGTGTCTGAATCATATTGATTTTAGTTTCTTTGTTACAACGAAGTAAGTGAACTGTTGACCATTAAGTTTCTTTCTGTTGACATTGTGGGGATTTCTTTTTTATAAAAAGTAGTCAGACTTCACGTGGAATATAACACTTCATATTGGCACTGGTACCATCAGTGGCAATAAAGTTCTGCACTAACTCTGGAGAACAGATTGAGGACAATAACTTCAAAGCAGTCTGTAAGCTTGTTAGCATGAATTCATGCAGTCGGTTTCCCATGTTCGATGCCTTTGGAATAGCTCTCAGTTAATGTAAAGTCACAGTGCCTGTAAATCATGCAATAATCTAAATTAAGTAAAAGCAAAGTATTGTGATATTGAAATCTGAAATTAAGTAATGTTGGAAATAGCAACAAAACAGTTCTGAGGAAGGGTCTGATTTTTCTTCACAGATGCTGCCAGACCTGCTGGGCATTTCCAGCAACTTCTGTTTTTGTTCCTGATTTACAGCATCCATAGTTCTTTCAGCTGGAAATTGCAATTTTGGCAGTATCGGTGGAGTCAGGAACAGTTTACTTTTCAAGTTGTTTATTTGCACCATAAGTAGAAAAAGTAATAAGCACTAACAGGTTAAAACAAGTAGGGAGTGAAAGGAGGAGAAAGAACTAAAGGCAAAGATTTTGATAAGGTTGAAGTCAGGTGAAATAAATGTTCGTGCAAGGCTAAAGAAGGGTGGGTAATGGGACAAAACAAAGACGTCCAGAGATAGTGCAAATGTCTAAAGAATAATAATCAAGGTTAAACTAAGTTCAAGGAACAGCAATTCCACTTTGGATTAGGCATTTTATAGCCTTTCAGACTGAATGTTGCATTCCATAATGTCAGAACATAATCTCTGCTTCCATTTCACTAATTTTTACTATAACCTAAATTTTATCTTTATCTGCTAGTTGGGTTATTAGTGCTTGCATAACTTTTGGATTAGCCTGAAAATTAATCCATAAACTATTGACCACACATACTAATGGTTGGTGTACTGAAGAACACAATTACTATAGAAAGCTTTAAAATCTATATAGGTATCTCAATAATAATAAATATCTCAATAATATCTAAATAATCAAGAAGGAGGAGAACATTATACTATTTCTTTAAGTTATTAAACAGTACTGTAAGAACAAAAGTCTCACCTATATTTTAGAGGAAATATTAAAGACTCTAGTGCTCTGGATGCTTCACTGAGTCTTTGATAACTAGTTGAATGAAAAAGAACCTTATTTTCTGTGAGCACAGCACAAAAAAGGCTGAACACTTGTTGGATACCTTTGGAAAGAAAAAGTTGATTAAAATGACCTTGTTCTACAAGAATAATTTCATTCCTACACAACACCAACTTAGTAACAAAAATGTTGACTGAAAGAAAAGCAGTTATAAATTCTAATGGCTTAATTCAACAATTCTATTTTAATAAAAACATGTTACAGGTATTTTACTTTGGCTGGCACATAAAACATCACAGACCATCCTGACTTGAAAATATAGTTCATTGGTCCTTCACTGGCACTGGGTCAAAAACCTGGATTTCAAGGCAATTAGATCTGGGCAACAAATACTTATGCTGCAAATGATACTTACATGCCATGAAAGAATTTTTTTCAAAACAATTTAAATATAGTCAGTCAATCATTAACTTTTGCTCCCGAGTTTGTATATACATAGGAGACTAATAGGTTACCAAGTATGAGCATTCTCTCAAAGTACAAACAGTCATTAAACTCATTGGGCACAAAGGTGCATGCTGTGTGGAAATGGACGTCATTCTTAATATTCTTAGAGTAACAAGGGATAGACAATAAACACTGCCGTCTCACTATCAGCTATATCACAAAAATAAAGGAAAAGTAATGAAGATTTTTAATATTATATTGGAGATATGCATAAATCCATCAAGTGTTTTGTCTGCATGAAATTCAAATATATTGGATACTTGTGTCATAAACTAATTAATACTTAAGAATAAAATTACAAAACTAAATACAAATGACTTAATGAAACAATGAAAACTTGTTAAAATGTATATCTAAATCTATCATCTCTATATTTTCAGCTCAGCTATATATCATTTTTATCGTTAAATTGACCCCTATCCCAGAGGTTGAAAGTTGATAGCCACAGTGTTGTGTTGTCTTGGGCTACAAACTGAAATGAGGCCAAAATGTATTACTACACAAATTCCATTTAAATTATGCAAAGTACTGCCCACAGTTCCCATGAGGTGCCTTTTCCTATGTTTTTAATAGAATTCAGAATGTTTTTAATTAAACTATTACCAGTAAAAACATAAGTAAAATGCATAACAAAACTCAGCAAAACAAAACTTGACCTAATTACATTTTTAGACCATTGTTTGTAAATGTTTTGTAAAATATTGATCATAATGTCCTTAGTTAATACTTCCTAAAGTACATCATGTGATCTGGCAATGATCATATGCATTTCCTGTTTTGCTGGTTACAGCTTACACCGGAGAGCACCATATTGTTCACTCTACATCACTTCACAAAATTGGTCCACTCATTATGCTAGTTACATTTACATCAAATGTTAAAACATGTTTGATGTATGATATTCATCAGTAGTTCACAATTTGGAAGTTTAGGAGAAAAAAGTCAAAGTAACTGTACATAATTAGATTAACACTGAATACCTATCCAAACAACATTATGACAGGCTTAGAGACAACAAGGTGCAGAGCTGGATGAACACAGCAGGCCAAGCAGCATCATAGGAGCAGAAAGGTTGACGTTTCGGGCCTAGACCCTTCATCAGAAAATGACAAGCTTCACACCTTTTCACATTCTAGCATCTTTCTCTATGACAATAACAGCAGCAAACATTGGAAACTTCTGCTTTGTGTTTACTTTTTTGTTCAAGTCGATTATGGTCAATACCTTGTATATTTGGGTTTTGCATCAGTACACCATTCGTTACCAGTTGTTCACAGAAGTATAAATTGGCCTAGTTTATAAACCTAATTTGCCATATAAATAAATTAAGTTCACATTTTACTTCAGTTTATTTCTAAAAAATTTGCAAACAGACCTAAATTCTTGATGTCATCACAGCATAACTAGGTTACTTCTGACTTTCCAAAGCAATAGAGTCTTCTGATAACAGCTCTAGCACTAAATATGAGAAAACACATTTAACTGACGTTGTGTTAGTCCAATTTTAATGCTTGTAGGTTTCAAAATTTCTTCTCTCCAACTCTGCCCTGTGCAAGAACAACTGGTTTTAACATTATATTATTGCCAAAAGATAAAACGGATTAATAAGGATGTGTATTCTGGTCGTGCAACAAATAAATGTTTGCCAAAAGATGTGAACAGATTTGGATTTTTGAGCCCTTATGATCCATGGGGTTAATGGATTCATGAGAGAACAGTGATCATCACTGTCAAACATGTTTGCTTATTCAGAATGTTTTCTTAACTCCTTCAGATTACTGCAAGGCCAGTTAGTTTCCTGCACTAAATAATACATTCGCACAGGTCACCAACAAACCACATCAACCGATAGAGCTCGTCAGTCTTTAAAAAAAGTAACAACATCCTGCTGATATTATATGCACACTGGAATTTCTTTGGAAATAACTTCCATTTCCTGACTGCAATGTTTTTAAGAATCCAAAGGATATGAAACAAACTTTTATGAATTGGCTAAAAATGTATGGCCATCATATTACACTGTAATTTTCTTCTGTTATATTTCAATTTTTCTTTAAGAAAAAATGTTTTAATTCCACTTCACTTTCAATGCACCACCCTTAAATATAATGTGCATATACCCACCATTCCAAATGAATATCTCTCAAAAATCATTCCCTCCCAGCATTTTTGACGCAGTTGAAAATATGAAAAATGGGTCAGTTTTTCTTTAAAATACCTCCTTTTGTAACTTATAATTGTATCTCTTTTTCAATTTGAAAATTGAAAATGGTCAATCTGAGGTTTTAAAATTCTATCCACCCCGACCATGCTACGCAATCTGATACACCTCAATCAACCTTCTCTGCTCCAAAGTGAAATAACTCCATAAAGGCCAATATCCCATCACCTTTATTTACAGTACAGTGCGCAGTACATCACACTGACCCAGCCAGCTCCTAGATTGAGCAAAACCCCCGAATCTCCTGTTTATATCTGTCAACCAGGACTCCCTGATTGGACCAGGCTAATAGCCCCAATCAGGGAACTCATATTATATGAGATGCATCTGGGTGACATCATTCCAACCACTCTTCATGGCTCAATCGCTGCATCCCAGACAATATCCTGGTGAATCGCCTCTGCACCCCCTCCAGTGCAATCACATCTTTCCTACAGTGCAGAGACCAGAACTGAATGTAGTGCACTAACTGTGGCCCAAACAAAGCTCTGTACAGCATCAACGTGGCCTCCCTGCTCTTAATATTTTTTAATCTTACCTATTTTCATGATCAACCTGTTCATGGATGTTATTTCACATCTCTGGAACAGGTGGGACTTAAACCTGGGCCTCCCGGTCCAGGGGTAGGGACAGTACAAGACGGCCTCAATTCCCTGCTCTTAAAATCTGTGCCTCAACTGATAAAAGGTAAGTGTTCAGTATGCCTTCTTAACTACCTTGTTAACCTACCTTGCCGCCATCAGGGATTTATGGGCAAGCCCTCCAAGATCCCCCTACTCCTCTCAGCTTCCTCGTGTCCTAATTCATGAAATAATGCCTTATCTTGTTACATCTTCCAAAAGGCATTACCTCACACGGAACAAAATTAAATCCCATCTGCTGCTGATCTGCCCATCTGGCCAACCCGTTCATACCTTCCGGTAACCTAAGATCTTCTTCCTTCCCATCAACCACCCGACCAACTGTGTTTCATTCACAAAGTTATCAATCCCAGCGCGTCTCCCTCCCCACCCCCAAACGTTCTCATCTACTTAATTTATAAATATATCGCGAACAATAAGGAACCTAGCACTGATCCCTGTGATACATCACCGGACAGTGGACTCAAGTCAAAGAAAAAACCTTCTACCACCACCCTGTGTCACCTGCCATTTAGTCAATTTTGGATCCAACATGCCCCAGATTCCATCTGGTTTTTACCTTTTTTAATCAGTGTCCCATGGTGTACCTCATGAAAGACCTTGCTGAAACCCATATAAACTACGGCCACTGTACTACCCTCATCTAGACGATTAGTCACCTCCTCGAAAAATTCAACCAGATTAGGCACGACTACCCTCTGACAAGGCCGTGCTGGTTATCCTGATTAAACCTTACCTCTCTAAATGGAGATTAATTCTCTCATTCAGAATTTTCTCCAATTGTTTCCCTACCACTGTTATGAAACTCACTGGTCTATAATTCACTGGTTTAACTCTACCACCTTTCTTGAAAAGTGAAACCAGATCAGCTGGCCTCCAGTTCTTTGGTATCTCCCCTGTGGCCACAGAGGAATTAAAAATTTGCATCAGGGCACCTGTGATTTCCTGCCATCTTGCAAGAAATTCTAACATAATAATTGAAAAGAATAATGTTAAAATAAGCAATATTCACATAAATTTACACAGTATCAGTCTTCGAGACTGTCCAGTGTGAATGGCATTGCAAGCTAGTGGTCACATTGAAGACAGAACTATAGAGTGGAGTAAAAAAACTGTAGTTTAATTGTGGAGCTCTTTATAATATTACATACCAAGACAGCAAAGCTCAAATGGTTTGAATGCGCCAACTGGATCTAACAGATTAAATTTCAGCCTCCTTGCTCAATGTCAATGAAAATATAAACAATGTTGATGGTTGAGTGCGATACTGAATTGGTGACTATAAGCATAGTCCAATATCATGTCATCACTACAAAAATATATTGTCAAATAACTCACAAGAGGTTTTAAATGGAATTGTTTTGCAATTCTCAACATAATTAGAATAGATCCAAGAATACAACATGAATAATGATATTTTATTGCAAATTGACAGAATCACATGAAAATAAAGAGTTTTGAAGCTTGTAATTGAATGGAAAGATGCAATTAATACTGGCGAATCAATACTGTCAAAAATTTACACTTCTTGCAGAAAATTACTTCCTTATCTCAAACGACAGAAGTTTTTTTTTGGAGAAGGTAGGTGTTTGCCTTGTTATTTGCATTGTTAAATTGTCATCACTATTATTGAGCATGAATGGCACAGCTCATTTATCTAGTCATTATTAGAACTCTGAAGAGGTTGTGGAGACAGCATCAGCAACAAATGTTAGAACTGGATCACCTTAGATG